GATTATATGTTATAACGCAATGCTAATTAATAGATTCACTGTATTTATACAGCATGCTTCAGGGCAGTGTACATATGAAAAAGAGGAAGAGAAAGAAATAAATACTAATGAAAAGAAATATTTTTTAGATGCGTTGAAGTAATTACAAAGATCCTTTATGAGATAGAAATTGTCAAAAAGTATCCTTCATATTATATACATTTGAAGAGTTCCGTGTGGTAATGGAGTCTGAAGATGAATATTTGAAGGGTTTCTTTGATGAATTACATTTATCAACAAATACATTTATCAACAAATACATTATCAAGAAAGAATGAAACATGAATGAAAACATCTAAACAGCTAGTATTTTTATGCTATTTTCTTTGTGGTATCCGAAATAAGTATGTTTGTAATATGAAGAGAAATCTAGGGATGTATTTAGATTCAACTGGTACAATCGAATTATTTGATTCATATCATCAGACTGTAAATGATACACTTTCAAATTGTGGAGAGGTGGTAATTTTGTGCTAGGTTAAGCTCACACGCGGCTTTTTTTTATAAAAAGATACTAAAATTATTTTTTTAATATATTATAGTTCGGCATTCTTAACTCCAGTTGGTTCTATTACTAATTCGTCATAATACCCCGATCTCCCTTATATTAAATTTTGGCATACGTTGATTTTCAAGGATGATATCTCGATACCCTGATATTGAAATGATATGAAAATACCACCATTCGATTCGAATAGACATGACGAATCGAATGGTGGTATTTCACGTGATTTCGATCGCAGGGTATTGAGATATTGCCCTTTAAATTGGCGAAAATCGGACGTATGATGACTTTCAGTGCGATATCTCGATAAATAGCGTTTGGAATCGCATCAAAATACCACCATTCGATTCGCCATGTCTAGACGAATCGAATGGTGGTATTTTGATGCGATTGCAAACGCTAGTTATCGAGATATCGTTACTTCGTCATAATACCTTTTTCGTCAAAATACCCCTTTTCTCTTATATTTTATTGAGCAATGAATTATCATCCAATATTACAAGTAATGAAGATGGCGTTACCTAAATTTTCTCATTCTCCTGTAAAGATTTTTCACAGTCTTTGCGCTGAAATACAGAGAAATATTTAGAAGCAAAACAAATAATCAAAGAAGTACGTTATATAAATCATCTACGTTTAGATAATGAGAAGTTTAAGGAAAATTTTGTGAGAACATCTACATGGGCAACATATCAGTATACTTCCAAGAATATATCACTCTTAACACGAAAATATGCATGCTTTTTATTAGATCATTTCTCTGAAATTTATTCTTATATTACTTCCTTTTTTCATTCCGCCTGTAGGTCTATCATCAATGAAAGACAAACGTAAACAGAAGGATATCGATATTACTTTCTCAACCCCAGCATCCAAACTCATCTTCCTATAGGATTTAGTTGCTTGCATTTATCTAGCTTAAAACATTTTTGTGATTACTCTGATTGTTCTACTAGTGATATTTTAATAACTTCATATACAGCAATGTGGACATGAATATCATATCGAATGTTTTGCTAGGAACGAATACAATGTTTGAAATTTATCCAAGATGGTATTGATGAATAAGTTCCGTCACTCTTGGAACGTCTTCAACGAAATAGCACAAATAATATTTTACCTGAAGAATCTGATGATATTATTCCTGAAGATGATGTAAAAAAAAATAGCAGACAATATATCCATTACATGGGATATGGCTATTCGGCAATTCTTGCAACAGTAATACTAGATTTAGATTGCAATATGTTACTTTTTATGTATAAATTAAAAATTTTGAATAGTAACCTTTCTTGAAGCGAAGTACATGTAGTTATGAATTACTACCGCTGGCGATACGGCAAGTTCCCACCGACGTGCTGATAAAAACAACAAGCTTCCCTTTCTGGCGGCAACACAAAAATACGCCATTCTCCGCACCTATTATGTCGAAATACAGCAGTCCTCATCGTTTTTCAGCATCTTCTTCATCAATCCCAGCGTGCTTTTCGTTGCTGCATTTACCATCATTTACAACATCTCCTCATCAGACGCAACAAATTCTCATCAAATTCTTTATTGCGCCTCGCAGATAGTAAAGCATCTTTACGAAACAATTTTAATAGCTATAATAGAAGTAACGAACGTAATAATATAAAAAAATGGCCTGCAGGCTACTAATAAAAACAGAATTGAAATTGCGTACAATTCCTCTCCAAGCGAAATTAAACTTGAATTATTGCGTACAATTATTCTCCCCTAAGTAAATTACTGCTTGTAAAACTCTTCCCCTTTCTCCCGTTAATCGTTATATTGTTTATCGGTTAGGTCCTTTGTACAAAATCGTGTGTCGTACCATTGTTAAGAAACCGTTTTTGTGTAATTGTTATTATATTTTTAAGAGTTTAAGGCTTTTATTTAGAAAAAGCAACGATTGCTATTAGTATTTTTAAGAGTTTAAAAGCAACAGCTAAGAAATTTCCCTCGAACACCCACCTGAAACACATAATCTCTCCCCCAAATCAACATAATCAACGATATCGGCACAGGCTCTAGATACCGAAATCAATAACTGCTCGGCCTATCAATCTCTCCCAAAGTCTTGTTGCGGCACAAATCCTCCAATTCGCTAAAACGTAACCGCAACACTAGGATTATCTAAAAATTAAAGTTATTGTTATGTATGTTACACATGATCCTGCAATTAGATTTCTCAACCAATCATAGAGAAGTCTTGCTATAAGTAATAACGCGCATCTGCGCGTTATTTCGAGCTCTGGTGCGTTATTTCAGGACGCTCATGTGCAATATTTTGATAATTTCGTGTATATTGTAATAAGCTATTGTAAATTTAATAAAAAAATCGTAGATTCGTTTTTATTCGCACGTTTACCATTTGAATCATTTAAATTTATGTTTATATCTATGTGCGCGTTATTTCGGGACGTCCATAAGCGTTATTTTGAGTCAAATATGCAGTTTTTGAAAAGTGTGAATTTCGAAATAACGCTTATGGGCGCTTATACGGTACGGTATAGGCGACTACAAATGAAGTGATCCTATAATGTAGGGATAAGAATTAATTCTCTAGAATCGATTAATTTAGAATCGAGAATCGATTAAAATTTAAGAATCGATTAAAATTTGATGATTTTATTTGTGAAAAACATGGCAAATGTTACAACTATTACTCTGTCATACAACAAAACTGTTAATATTGATAATAACCAAGAAACTATTGACAATAGAGTTTAATAACTCTGATGCGAAAAGTAATTGATATTGACCCAAACTTGAATGCATATTTATGAACAACAGAAAATACATGTAATGATACAAATCTCAATCTGATAACAATCCTTCAATTGCCTTTATACTATCTTTGCCACCTAGTATCTCTACGAATTTAACTAATCAAAGTACAACTTCAACTATTCCAAAAAAAATCAACATGCAATGAAAAACAAAACCAAGGACCAGTTATGTCATCGCCGTTGTTATTGCTGTCATCGTCGTCATCGTAATTTGTGTACAAGAATCGATTCCTATCCCTACTATAATATTTACCGTTAATGGCAATATTAATAAATATCGATATAGCCGATAGTAAATGAACAACGAAATGTACATGATAGACGAAATAATACCCTAGCCACGGCAAAAAAAGTTACGGTCACGTGATAACACAACCAATAAGAATGCGCAAAAATTCTGCGCAACCAATAGGAATGTAGCAAAGTTTTGATCAACCCGGCAAAACAAATCCGACACAAGAAATAAAAAGGACAAAAAATGCGAAAAATACAAAAAACAGATATCTAATATTAATCGGACATCTTAATGAACTTATTTCAGATCACGTGACAGACACTTTTTTTGCCGTGGCTAGGGTATAGACAAAACTATATACGTAATCGTTGTAACATACAAATTGACACTTGATATTCGATAATTTATAATTAACGTAAAATGCCAATATAATACATCGTTATACATGTACATAGAAATAAAATACACCAATATCAGTTGGAATTGAAAGTCAAGCTTCGAATTTGTTCATACAAGCAATGATTTTTATCTTATTTTGCGATATTTATTTTCAGCATAATGAATAGTCTTTGTAATTTGTTGAAATACTTTTTTGATCTTTCATTTCATCGAATTTCTGTTCTTCTAGCCTAACACACTCTTTAATTTTTCGTGTTTTTTTAAAGAGCTATAGTGCAGAAATGCAGTTTCCAATTCATGCTATTGATGTTTGATCCTCGATAGATCTGATCAAGTCGTAAAGTTCCTTAACAGTTGGTCTGTTTTCTGGAATAAGATACCCAAATTTACACCATCCAAGAACATTCAGTATCTTAGGTCGTATTTCTCTATAGGCCTAATACGAAATCATTACCAAATGATCGTTCGCCTGTTACATAATCCCCAAGCTATAAATATCTGCTTTCCAATTAACATTTCGCATTTCACCAATCAGAACCCTCTCTCAATAACGTGATTCTTTTTTTATCGATATAGTAATTTACGCGATAATTCTTCTAATATCGATATACACTGATACAAGTTACATGTACTAATAGTCTAATCTCACGCGAGCCGCTGATCGGTAAAATCGAATCTTTCTTTGCATTAAAGAATTACTAACGCTAACTGCAACGGTAATGAATTAATAAAATAATGTACCAAGCGATTTTATTCTCGTTTGGAACATAAATTACTGTATTTTTTTACCTGCCTTCATTTTACAATTTTAATAACGAGAGACGGTAAGCTCTGCTACTTTTTAATGTACGTAACAGTTATTTGCTGACTCACTTTAGTATAAAAAGAATCAACCTATACGTATTTAGCAGAATTTTTCTTTTAAGACGCGAAATAAATAAATATATCAATAACGATAATACAAAAAGAAAGGTTTATTTAATTTCAGAATAAGTAATGTAAAGAAATATAACATTTCTACTGAGTCGTTTCATTTACTTGTAAACCACTTTTGCACCCATTCATGAGCTTCCGCTACAATATTTTCGACTTTCTTACTTTTATCATTTTTCTCGATTAAATTAGATAATGCGCGTTCCGCCTTTTCATAACATAATTCCCATTCCTCTTTAAACTCCTTCATCACAATTTCCAAATAAGCCATTGCCACAGCTGTTATCCATACCAAATC